AATAAAACTGTAGGAGTTAACTTTAAAAATACTTTCATAGAAAGTGCAATAAAGACTTTCTTATTCTTAATAATATTACTATTGGTTTCATTATTAATATCAATCAATCGAGATTAGTTATAATTTACGGTACTAATTCTAAATCTGAAAAACAAAATCTAAAATATTCAAATTATATAAATGACGTCTTAATAAGGCTTTAAACTGCTTATGTGTTTTTTCTTGAGTACTAACATTTTGCTCAAAATGTTTTCACTAAAAGGTCCCCAATACTGTATACAAAAATACTGCATATAAAAATACTGTATACAAAAATACTGAGTATAACAATACTGCATATGAAAATAATGTATATAAAAATAATGTATATAAAAATACTTTATATAAAAATACTGTATATAAAAACAATGTATATATAAAAAAAACTTAACTTTAGATTATATTTTGGTGTAAGAAAGTTGTTTTCTAAAAATCTAGTGGGATATTTGCGGCTTAGTTTGATAAAATAAGCATTAAATGTCATTGAAGACCATGTTTTCTTTTATAACGGATGATGAATATGTTGTCGAACAAATTTTAATTTAATTTTACTATTTTATTAAAAAATCAGCTGCTTTGACCCTTATGCAAAAAAATTATGAAATGTTTATTATTTAAAACAAATTTATTAAATAATAATTTAAATGTAGAAGAACGAGAATCTTTTCGAAAATGTCTCAACATTTTTTGTGTAAAATTTTTTTTCCGACATGTTAATAGTAGCTAGTTATCGGCCAGCCACTTTTGGCGGATGCCAATAATGGTTCATTATGTAACCGATGAGCAAATCTATAATGGTCCGCTCAAAATGCCAATATAGGTCCACAGAAATTCCACTATAGAATGTTTGCTGGAAAACATGGTCTTTATATATAAAAAGAAAACATGGTCTTCGTATATAAAAAAAAAAGAAATTGTAAATCATCTCAAAAAAGAAGGAACAGCAGAAAATACCTTTTTTGATAACTTAAAAAACTTGAGACTGGTCATTTATTTATCCTGCACTAGAGAAAAGAAATGCAAGTTAAAAAAATTGTCAATAATTGAAAAGGGGTCAGTCAGAGGAAAATATTAAATTCGATGTAAATCAATCAACAATTGATTGTCAATTAAAAAATATTTATATATATATTTATTACAGAAAGCATGAAATGACTCTTAAATAGACCATTGAACAACAAATAAAAACAAATAAAGAAACAGAAAGCCTGTTAATCAACTCTATAACACAAAGCCATTATTTCACATGAAGTTATGGATATTACACAGACATCAAAGAAGCATGTCAAGAAAATGTTTACTTTGTAGAAAAATCCAGCCGGAATTTGGCCTAAAAAGACGACTTAAACTTTTTTCCAGACCAAATGCCGGCTGGAGAAAAATTTCTAAAAAGTTATTAATGCGGATCGCCGTATCTATTTTTGATTGAGGTATCACGGAGTTATTGTTTTGCACTTTCAAGGCTGTAGAAATACATCAATCAATATTCATGAATGTTTACAAAAATAACTTCAATCACAAGTATCTTAACAACTATTTATTTTGACCAGGTTCTCACTCATTTTTGAGCAAGTTCTCACTCTTTAAGGATTATCTAAATTGAATGGACTAGTCAACTATGCTGATAAGAAATTCAACCCATTAAATATGTCTCAAGCATATCACATTGAGAAATTTTAAGGTCATTTATCTCAAAAGGTTTACAAGGAAGATCGGCAAACTTCAAAAGAAAATTTTTTGATAAATCATGAAACTAAAAGTATTTGGTTTGAATTTTTTACAGTTGCTTGTAAAAGATGTCAAAGCAAAATCATGATCTATTGTTGATGATGGAGTTTTTTGTATAAAAAAGAGAACTGATTTTTATTTAAAAAAAACTTTATTTGTTAAGAAGATGTTAAAGTTTTTATTTTGTCCAATAAATTATGCATCGTTAGATTAACTTAAAGTAAGTTATTGATTTTGAACAGAATTAACGCTTTAAGTTTACGTCGAAGAGGCTCACAAGACATACATTTCTTGTTTATACTTTTTTAATATTTTTTGGTTGAGGTGTCCCAAGAAGACTTAACGATCTTGTTTCAGAGTACCGCGAAAGAGCATTTAACTACGGAGTTCACATCTCCTTTTTAACCAATGACGCAAATTATGCCCAGTGCTTATTTTGAACCCAAAATCTCTTGCTTCTAAAGCAAGAGGTCTAACCAGACCAATAGTCAGACTATTCTTTCTCTTTTTTTACAATTGCTCGCAAGTCACTTTAATGGAAGATGTGTTATGAGCATCACAAAAGCTATGAATAACTTAACAGTTTACATTTTGAATTGTGTCAATTGTTTTTACTTTTGTTGTAACAAATCTATACTACTACTACTACTACTACTACTACTACTACTACTACTACTACTACTACTACTACTACTACTACTACTACTACTAAACACATATATATAACTATATATAAGAAACAATTATAAAAAACACAATTGTTTCAAATTTTTCTGCAAATATGTTTCAAACACAATTGTTTCAAACATTTCTGCAAATATGTTTCTGTATAGAATAAATAATTTTTAACCAAGTACAATTGGTTCTTGTCCATTCAATATTACCGTACTAAGTATAAGAAAAGATAACACCTAAGAAGTTTACAGATTTTGTTTAGAAATATTTGTTTTATTTATTTTTATATCAGTTAATTTTAAAGGAATACTTTCTATTTTATTTGGTTTACGAATTAGAGTTTAAATATTTTAACGTTCAACAATTACGAGTAAGCCATTTGTCTTTTTATTAAATTACATTAAAGAGCGTTTTAATATAAGAACAAAACAAAGTGAAGAATAAAACAAAGTGGAGTATAAAACAAATTAGAGAATAAAACAAATTGGAGTTGTCTGCAAACAAAATCAAATTTAATAAGTTTGAGGTAAAAGATGAATCATTTGCATAAAAAGAAAATAATAAATGTCTTTGAACTTCGAAAAGTTACTCCGCATGTTAATATTATTATTTTTTTAATATATATATATTTTTTTTGTTTAACTCACTTCATATTTTATGTGCTTTCTATTAGCTTTCTAAGTTAGCTTTTTTATTTCTATTTTTACTTGTTTTTTAATAAGAATGGTATGATTGACGGTGATAAAAGTTTTAGACAGATTAATAAAAATTCAATGTCAAACAGTTGTAATTAAAAAATATTGGTTACATTTATTATTATTATTGGTTACATTTATTATTATTATTAGCTCGGTCAAAGTGTGATCTGTTGTATAATTTTTTATAAGTCAAATTTGCTAGTTATACAACAAGTTGTTTACCGTTAAGTAAACCTATTATATATTATACGTTCAACTAACTTTGAAAAGCATTGTAAAACCAACTTTACTCTGTAATTGTTACCGAATCTAATCTTAAAAATAGGTGAGACTGTCGAATTTTTCATTTCTTTAAAACAGTATCTAATTTGAAAGATAGAAAATATATACGTAATGTATAGAAGATTCAATTGTATTAAAAACAGATTTTATGCCATAGATTCTAATTTTGTTGAACAATTTTTTTAAACAACTAATAAAAAAATAAAGATAAAATAAACATTGAAAACAAATTTTTCACAATGCGTTGTTCTTCGAGGGCAATTCCATTGCAAAAACAATGCTGTTTTTTTGCACTATATATAGTTACAGTCACAATAACAATTGTTTTATATTAGCTTTGTACAATTTTTTAAATTTACTTTTTACTATTTTTAATTACATTTTTTTTACAAATTTTTAACTTAAACATTTTTATTTTTAAACTTTTTACTTGTCTTTTTTTATATAAAAAGATTTTTTATTAAATATAGATAAATTGATTAAAAAACAAGCCAGTATAAAATTTTTTAGTATTCTTGTTGACAATGCCGTTTTATGACCTTTATTGGCATTAATTTTAATTTTAAGACCTTCAATAGCATAGGCTTTAATTTTATAACCTTCATAGATCTAGGCTGTAATTGTATGATCTTAATAGGCCTAGGCTGCAATTTTATGACTTTCATAGGCCTAGGCTGTAGGCCTAAATAGGACTAAAAAAATTTCCCTTTTTTTCTAGCCACTTGTTATATAATTACATTATTATTATTAGTGATCAATGAACTAATGTAAATTGGGATCTTATAAAAAACGACATAAGAACATCAGTTGGACAGCAAAGATTGTTATCACAGTCGCTGCTCTCAATTGAGAATGATATTCTGCGATGGTCTACAAAAACATGCTTGCAGAATTATTTATTCTAAAAATAAGTGTGAACATTTTAAATTTTTGATTTGCATTAGAAGAAATTTATTAAGAGGATTTTATGGAAATGCAGAATTCAGATTTAGATTTATCAAAATATTTCTTGGTAATCAAAAATTCAAATCTAGAACTATTTTCTTTTTAAATAATATTGCTTGAAGCTTTTTTAAAAAATAGCTAAGAACCTGGTCATAGCTGATGCCAAAACATATTTTTTTTGAAGTTACACATTTATTATAGATTAACTTGTGAAAGATGTTTTGAATAAAAACGTTTTCCTCTCATAAGAGTTAAACATATTTTTAGGGTTCTTTGTTGTTCCTATGATTCTAGCAATATTTTGTATCCTTGTTTGACATCAATACAAACATAATTTGAATTTTTGTCCGTGTTAAATGAATGTGTCACATATAATTAAGATAATATATAAAAAATGTATAAATTATGATTAGAAAAATAATTTTAAAAAATTATTCTAAAATAAAATGAAAAAACCATCTCTAAGGATGCGTAATTGCTGCGTGTAATATATTAACTTTTATAAGCAGAAAACACTATTACTACAATCTCTAATTTATCAGTAAGCTGAAAAAAATACTTTTTTAAGAAATAAATGTTCAAATATGTTTAAATATTCATTAAAAATCCAAATTAAATGGCTAAACTGCTTACCTTAAGAATCACACACCATCCAAGTAAAATCATATTCATAAACAAAATTATTTTTGTTTCATAAAAATAAAAAAAAATAATTGGGCGGGATAAAACATTTTAGTTAAAATAAAATTGAAATAAATCTATGTTATGAAAAAATAGTTTTTGGTGCAACTGTGTACTTATAAAAACTGTGACAGATTTTTGCTTAATAAATAATTAATTTTTAGTTAAATTTCTATTTCTAAATGTTTGTTGTTACTTATAAATATTTTCTTGAAATATTAGTATAAAACATTAAATTGCAATGCAAAATTAAAGTCCTTTGCAGTACTGACATTGCAATAAAGTTTAAGAATCTATAATATATACCCGAATATAACGTTTTTTTAATAAAAAAACAAACTAAAAATAAATAAAAAATTAAAGAAAATTACAAAATAGTAATGTAGCGGCTCATTCCATTTGTAGGATTTTCTATATAAAAATTTTCTTGGATTAATATTAATAACTTTTCATCAAAGAATTGGATTTGTAAAGCCCTTTTTTTTATTTCTTAAATATTTTTAAGGCGACTTACAATACTGTATCAGTAATCATATTGAATTGTGCGCCGACGATAGCGAGATCATTGGAGTTATTATTATCAATCAACCTTCATCTGATTATAAAACACTGCAAACAGATATCGACAACGCTGTAAATTGATGGTACTAATAAAAATAGTATTTTTTTAACTAGGGATTCTTTTATTTTAAAAGTAATAAAAAACCTTTATTAAAAATATATTACATTAAAAAAAATAAAAATTACCTAAGGTTATATTTTATATGATTTGTAAACTAAATTTAAAGTAATCTATATAAAATAAGTAAGTAAATTTACTTATATTCTACAATGACTATGAAAGAATCTTGTACAACGGTAATGCAAAAAAATTTTCAGGGTCGCGAGGTTTAGGAGCCTTATGATGTATTTAGAGAGTTTTTTAAAATGCGGGGGAGAGGGGGGAGGGAGGAGTCAAAAAAAAAAGTGTACTTACTTTATGGACGACCCTTAATACAATGAAATAAAGATGCTGTTGATTAAGTAATTATAATCGGTTTGGTGATAAAAGAAATCGTCGCATTTTCAATTTATAAAACCTTTTTTACATTTCTTTTGACGTGGTATAATATCACACAATACCACTCGTATTTAAATCAATTTAAAATTAAATTTTGTATTTTGGTACAGGTATTTTTCTAAAAGTTACAAAACTATAATTATGAACTAAAATAAACCTTTTAAACTCAAATACAGAAAGGTACATAAACATCAATTATTAATGACAAGTTTTTAATGATTATTTTATTTACGGATTATTAGGGGCTTGGCGACTATTTGTGCCTTCATTTTGCCCCCGCCATTTTTAAATTTTACAAAAGAAAAGTAGTTATTTGTAATAGCAAATTTAGAAAGAAAAAATTATAAAAATAAAAATTCTGCCATGACATTAAATAATGTCTTTATGCAATAAAAAATGTAATAATCAATGACCAAATTAACTTTAAAAAAAAATTAATTTGACAATATTTGACAAAATTTAACAATGATGTCCGCGTCATTTGATTACTTATTCACAAAAAAGGGTTAGATTAACTTTCGCTCCAAACTTTTGAATGAGAAACAGAATTTGATTGTCAGACGAACTTATAATTATAATAATATAATTTAGATATATATAATTTATAATTTTACTATAATTTAATATAATGATAATAAGATAATATTTTTATATATAGATTTAATATTTATTATATAAATATAACATTAAGATAATATTTATAACTTAATTATAATAACTTATAATTTAAATATAATAATAAGATAGATAAATATAATAATAGAACTTAGAATTTAAATATAGTAATAAAATAATATTTTATTACTATATTTAAATATAGTAATAAAATAACATTTTATTACTAGAGCGATTCTAATAAACTACCGGCTTTCGACATGTTTTGATGATGTATGTTTTTCCTTGTTATTTTGTTATGGTCATTTAATTCGGACCGTAGAGAAAACTTTACTTTTCCGAAATTTCGATTTAGATCAATGATATATAAAAATAAAGTTATTCTTAATATATCATTGATTTAGATATGGTCTCAAAGTTACTTTTAATTCGGACCGTAGAGAAAATATTACTTTTCGGAAATTTTGATTTAGATATGGTCTTAAAGTTTCTTTTAGTTCAAACCGTAGAGATAACTTCACTTTTTAATATTTTTTTCCCGCTTTGTACATCGTTTTTACATCACGACTTATATCATTGTTATATTACCCGCAACTAATTTTTTAACCTCTCATTTGGCTTAAAATTATCTGGTTTTATTACCATATTTAGTTAGTCTTATTGCAATATTTATTAATATAATATTATTTATTTCCTGATTTTCATATTATTACTGTTTGTTGCATTCATTACTCAGCTTTGTTTTAATTTTCACATGCACATTTTTCATCTTTATTATTATTCAGAGAATATTTTTATATCCTTCATTAAAATGTTTACATATCGATTACATTCTTAAGGTTTTTGTGCAACGTTCTTTTTCGCTATCATATATTAATCAATTATTGTTATGATTTTGGGTTTCACGGGTTGCTCATTTTCCTACACTTTTGATTAGTTGTCATATTTCGAATGAGGTATCTATGTGTAAATATATAAATAAATAAAACTATTGATTCTAAATCATCATTGCAGTATTTCATCTTAAATTCATTTTGACATACAGGAATAAATTCATGAAAGTCTCTAATTCCTGCTATTATTTTTACATTTTTAAATCGTTCAGATAGTAATTTTCTTATTTCAATCAAACTTTCACTTGAAATAAAAATAAAGTTTATACCTTTGATATTGTTAGTTCAATATGTAAAAAGTACAGTGAGTATTTAATAGTTGATTTGCAAAAATTTTCTGCAAACTAGCATTGCTACAAGCCGTTTAACAGTTTCCCTTATATATAGGAGATACCTTGTGATAGTATACCATCAACAAGTGATGGTATACCATCAACAAGTGATGGTATACCATCAACAAGTGATGGTATACCATCAACAAGTGATGGTATACCATCAACAAGTGATGGTATACCATCAACAAGTGATGGTATACCATCAACAAGTGATGGTATACCATCAACAAGTGATGGTATACCATCAACAAGTGATGGTATACCATCAACAAGTGATGGTATACCATCAACAAGTGATGGTATACCATCAACAAGTGATGGTATACCATCAACAAGTGATGGTATACCATCAACAAGTGATGGTATACCATCAACAAGTAATGGTATACCATCAACAAGTGATGGTATACCATCAACAAGTGATGGTTTACCATCAACAAAAAACTAGACCTCAATGAGGTCTAGTTTTTTGTTTTTTTTATTTATTATACAAATTTAGATGCATTGAGGTCTATTTTTTTTTGATGGTATACCATCAAAAAAAACTAGACCTCAATGCATCTAAATTTTTCTGGAACTAAAATTTATTCCGATGCGGTTTATAAACGTTAACTTGTGACAATTTGATTTTAAATCAATACAACTGAGCATTGAGATGTTCCAGCCATTATAAAAATATTTAATTTCAATATATCATTTTTCTAAAACCAACATTTAAAAAAAAGTAGTTTCTCACGTAGGCATTATTATTAATACTCAAATGTTAGAACCAATTGTTCCATTTAATTAATTAAACAAGAAACCAGAAATTCATTTTTATTTTAAACTAAATAAGTGTAATGATAGAGATTATAATCAAAACGGTAAATAAATATGCCAAAATAAAATTGCAAAAATAAAACTATAATAAAATAGATATGTGCATTGAAAAACAGTGAAATAACTTTAGCGGGTATTTATATTTAAGCGGGTATTTGTATATAAACTTATATTGTAAAAATTTGAAACGAATAGATCAATACCTTTTCAATAATTAACCTTAAACATGTTTACTTGTATACATGTTTAAGATTAATTAACAAAATTTCATAGGTAGAAAACATTTGAATGAAGAAATCGAAAATTATTACTTGAAGTTATTAGATCTTACTTAATAAAAAACTTTGAAATACAAACCAGGTTTTTTACAATAATATTTCAGTATAATCAAATATTATGGTAATTTATCATTTTTTTATTCAAATGTTTCTATACCTATGAAATTTTGTAAACGTTAATGTAACTGTGTATACATCAACACTTTAGTGTTGCTATTGACGTTACTAAGAGCGAAGAATTAAAAAAAGGGATAAATCTCAAACTTCTAAGACTAATAACTCTTGAAATAATAAAGTTGGCTACAAATTTTTTTTGATTCCTAAGGGCACTGTTACAACATTTGTGTCAAAACTCGAGTATTTCTAAGATAATGGGTTGTTTCTGTCCCGGTTAAGTGGGATAATTTTTATCGATATGAATCCCCTCTCCCCCCTTAAATTGATATATATCCGCAGTGGATCGTACGGACGTATATTTCACCCCCTAGCTTTTAGTAAGTCCTAAAAATTTGTGGACGACCCACTTCTAAAAATATAATCATATTAATCCCATATTATGATATATCGTATTATATACATTGTATCATATAAAGTACAGTTGTTAAAGAATATTAGATAATTGCTACTATTATATTTCTAGTGAAGTGAACTAAGTGAGAACTAATGGAAGACAATTTGTAATACTTTTTGGTGCTACCGCATCCTTTTTTGAACTGTTCCAGACACTTTATTTTGAGGATTAATATTAAATCCTTTAAATTAATAGCTAATATATTAATGATAGAACAAACGAGAAAGTATGGCTGATAAAGTGTAAAATTGTAATTGTTTCAAAACAAATGATTTTTATGCCATAATTATAGTAATTAATATAACTATTAATCTTAACTATTACTATAATTATAATATTCTGTTTAATTGTTATACTTAATCACTTATATAGGTGTAGTTTGTAATCTGTTTAAGAGCTCGTATAGTGACTGAGAGATCCCATTATGGAAACATGCACATGAGCGAATTAATGGTTATTGTTAAGTAAATTACAGTATATATTTCAAATATATTTCAAACGGACATATACGTACCGTCAACCGGGTGACTTCAGACAAATTTCGAAGAAAATATTAAACTGTTTCATTAAAATCAATACAAAATAGAAATATTTGCGTGGATCGTACCACTGTAGTTATAAAGAACATGAAGAAAGTTTGGCTTTCAGCTTCCGAATATGTTATTAGCATAAAAAAACGGTCTAAATATCAAAAAATCAAAAATGGGAAATAGGGTGACTCCGGACTTTTGAAGCTTGAGATTTTAAAAGTTGAAATTTCAACATCAAGGGTTTTAAAATGAATGCATAGCTATGTAAAAAAGCTGATTAATTAAAAAAAGTTTTATTTCAAATAACAAAACCAAAAACAACAACTATTGATAAACTCAAATATTTTATAAATATAATGATACAATGATTAATTATGAAGAATCAATTACTAATCTTTCTTATTTTGTTTAAATTAAATGATTAATTATGAAGAATCAATTACTAATCTTTCTTATTATGTTTAAATTAAATGATTAATTATGAAGAATCAATTACTAACATTTCTTATTTTGTTTAAATTATTGATAACTGTTAAAGTAAATCATACACAAATCATTGCCTTTTAAAAAAATTCAAAAAAGTTATAGTTTTGGGCATACAATGCAATCAGTCAACATGGCATTTTCCAAACACTTTGAATGATATCAACGACCACAACGTTCACAACCAGTCCAATCAATTAAAACTTCCGCTTCTTCTTCACTGATTTCATCGTTTTCGTCATTATCTTCTTTTCCACAGATGAAACAAAGATCAGTTTCAATATCTTCAACAACATTTGAAACTGCCACAGATGCAATGTTCAACTTATTGCCCTAGGGTTTTTTTGTTTCATATGCACAGCAATGAGACATTAGCAAAGTTGTAACCGAATCGTTTAAAATCGATGCTCTTGATGCACCAGGTTCCTTGTATTCAGAAATTCTTTTTAAAATCTTTATACGATTTATTAGATATAGCCCACATGTAATTAAGTCAGAAACCAAATTTTGACACATGTATTGCAACTTAACTAATAAACTTTTTAACAGAGCTGGAAAATGTTCTTTGGGAAAACATCCAGTTTTTGTGCTTTGTTTCCTCCACTCATTCAGTACATGTTTCCAACAACGCTTCATCGGACCAAAGACAGATACATATAATGGCTGCACTAAATGTGTGGCATTTGGTGGCAACATAGCGAAGTAAACACTATGCTTCCAGCAAGTTTAATAATGTCTGCATTAAAATGAGAGGCCACGTTATCTCCTAAAAGAAACTTGGGTCCATTTATATGTTAGATGTTTCAAACCACTTAACAAATGTCTCCATATCAAACCAACCTGATTTTGGGCAACTGTATATTGTTCACTGTAGCTGTATATTGTTACCCAACTTTGAAAAATGTTCAATGCTCTATAAACTACCATAGTGGTTGTAGTACTCTTGATGCAGAGCCACACCACATAATAGATATTGAGGTTTTACTATGTTCTTGAACGTTTTCCACACGTCGAACTAAAATAACTTTTTTCTAGGATCATCTGGAAGGTTTGTCTCATCAAATTTAAATATGTTTGAAAGTTAAATATCACAGAGATTCATTAGTTTTTTCAAATTCATCAGAAAAATTGCGTATCATTTCTACTCCTAACTTTGATCTCGATCGTTTAATATTAGAAGCATTTCTACCAGAAATATTGTTTCGTTTCATAAAAGAATTTAGCCAGTCATTTCCAAGTATCTGTAAATTGAAACTTTTTGACCCAAAACGATTTTTGAGGAAAAACAAAACCAGGTTACAATATGTGCAAAATATTAGAAGCATTTCACCAAGTCACCAATTGAAACTGAACATTTAACTTTTTTTGATACAAAAAAAAATTTAAAGCGGTTTCATTTTTTTTTGAAACCCGGGAAAAATTTTAACTTACCTAAACTTTACTATTTAAAGAATTAAATAATAAAATTACTATTTAATTCTTTAAATAAAGAATTCTGGTAAGTTAAAAAATTCTTCCGGGTAAGTTAAAAAATCTATTTTTTGTATGTTCATACTTATGTAACTTAATGATTTTATGACAAATAATTGCGCAGATTGAAACCTAGGAACGCAAAGACCATAAAAAGTAAGTATAAACGGCTATATGCCTATTTTTTAAGTAGGCATAATCTTCTAGAAGATTATGAAATCTGAAAATTATTAAATATATTATACTTTCAATGATTTTAAGATTTGATAAACATTGTTTAAGGATCGCTGATCAGATTTTTTCTGAAAGTGGTGTAGAAAAAAAAACTTTCTAGTCATTATTATTGCGGTTTTTTTAAAAAACAATAAAATTTAATGTACTTCCGCATTAATTTAATTGCTTTGACATTTCGATGGCATTAAAATACAGCGTAAGAGACGAGGTAAAAAATTTGTAGTCGAAAGAGACTTTTTTTTGCCATAAAAGTCTCTTTCGAGTACACTATAAGGATATATATATATATATATATATATATATATATATATATATATATATATATATATATATATATATATATATATATATATATATATATATATATATATATATATATATATATATATATATATATATATATATATATATATATATATATATTACATTTACACATGAGCTGCATTTAAGTTGACTGTCTGGGTAGGTGGATAGTAGTACTGGGTACTACTATCCACTAAAAAGATCGAAAATTATACATTTGATGAATCAATAATGAAAAGATATATTTGATGAATGATTATTGAAAATGATAATTAAAGAATAATGCTCAAGAAAGTGTACGGTATGTTCCAAACACAATGTTCGAAAAGATTTAAGATATGAACGTGTAGAATGTAACGTTGGACTTTGTGCAGCTCCATGCTTTACCAATTATCATACAAAATGAAAATATTAGATTTATATATTATGATTTATATATTTTAAATTTGAATAATAACATTTTGTAGTATTTAATAATGTTAAAAATAGTAAAAAACTTTTTTTATTTTATTAGTAAAAAAATACGATGATTTTAAAAACACGGGACATTTAAGACCACTTCATAAAAAAAACCTGGAATATTAGCGACCGTATTTTACAAACAACGCGGGACTGTTAAAGGGTTAAAAATTAAAAAAAAAAAAAAAAAAAGCCTATTGAGACGTAAGGTTGCGAATTGAAACTTTATTTTTTTTTTCGTGACAAAGTAACAGTTAAGACGAAGCTATTTTGCATTAAAAAATAAAGTAAATATGGTTATTAGCAATACGGCAATGATAAACAAACATTTACTGCGTTATCAAGTTTATTTAATTAATATTTAATTAAAAATAAGAGATAATATAACCGTGTAACCAATTGTAACCGATTTAGACGTAACAAAACTAGTAAAATGTTATCGAAGTAATTTTCCAATAGGAAAACCCCAACCAGCAACAGCTTCTAGCAGTGGCGGATCAAGGAGGCTAGGGGGGCTATAACCCTGGACATCTCAAATTTTGGGACCCCCAAAAATTTTAGTGGACATTTTTCTTTTTTTTTTAAGTCATTTTTAGGCTCTGGCCCAAAAATGACTGAAGAAAGACAAAAGAAGACTGACTAAAAAAGGCCTCCAAAAACAAAAATAGCCCCGGGCCCCAAAAAATCTTAATCCGCCACTGGCTTCTAGCATTTGAGCAAAAAGTACCTTATTTGCTTTGCTTATAATTGTCTGGCCTCCAACCTTCTTTAAGGTGGGTTTTCTAATGTGATCATGCAATGTTAATTTTTTGACTTTACGTTTATCAGCAGCGTTTTGAATACTCATGCCTTTACTGTGATCTTCTATAGCTTTTTTTAAATCTTCTTTAGAGCTTGTTCCACACAACACTTTTAAGTTTACTTAACGTTTGTAGTTTTGCGGAATTTCTAAAAGAAACTGTAGAATAATAAGTAATGCTCTCTCCGGAGTCACCCCGCAGTCCGAAATCCAATCCATACAACCCCGGTTGACGTTATATGTCTATGCATATAATCTATATTTTGTTTTATATCAGTATATACTGGTAGAAAACAAAATATACTTTAATAATGTTAACAAGAAATTAGGACTACTATCTATTTTGAAGAGCTAATAAATATTTTAAATCTTAAATCTCAAGTCAGTTAGACTTTAATTTCTTTAATTTATGTTAATAAACATTCAGAATGTCTTGTTGTAAGTGTAAGTATAAAAACTGTGCTGTTAAATTTTAAATTGGTTGCTTTTATGGTAATTTTTAATTTTACACACACTATATATATTTATATATATATATATATATATATATATATATATATATATATATATATATATATATATATATATATATATATATATATATATATATATATATATATATATATATATATATATATATATATATATATATATATATATATATATATATATGTAAAATTGAAAATAGGTTAAATACATTATTAAAGTTTTATTAGCTTTAAATGTGTGATATTTCGTCTTATAAAGTTAAAGCCATTTTCAAACTCTTGAGTTTGAAAGTGACTCAAACTAAGTGAGCCGAAATATCACATTTAAAATTAATAAAACTTTTATAAGTTAAATAAATAGTATGTCACTGTAAATGATGTATTTTCAATTTTATATATAGATTTTATCATATTATTATGATATCATTAAAATATGAATGTACATATATATATATATATATATATATATATATATATATATATATATATATATATATATATATATATACATATATATATATATATATATATATATATATATACATACATACATACATACATACATACATACATACATACATACATACATACATACATACATACATACATAAATACATATCAGGGGTGAATGCAGCATTTTTTGTTGTTTAAGATAGCTAACTTTGACAAATAAGGACGTTTGGGAAAAAATTGCAATGATTGGAGACTGGGAACAAAAAAGCCCCTTAAATTTTGGTTTTAATTTGTAATTAGAAGTTCTGAGTTTGATTCCCACCACTTCCCTAGTAGTACTGCTCTCAACTTGTTTCTTCGCACAGCAGCCTTTTTCATCAAGTTCATATTTGGAGTTATAGAGTTAAAAAAAAGGGTTGTAACCACAACTAAAAGCTTTGCCTCCTTGACTCTAGTGGCCTTCATGGCCTTAAGGAGGTAAATTACAATAAAATTTAAAAAAAAATTGATTTCTTCAGGTTTAAGAAAATTGTGAACTAATTGGTGGCTGGATAGCTCAGTTGGTTAGAGCGTCAAATGAAAAAATAAAAAAAACCAGACTGTTAAACAATACGAGTTCAAATCCTGCCTCGGCCTACTAGTCGTTTGAATAGTACTACAGTACGCAAAAATGTTGGTCAATAACGGACGCTACTTTGGATTAGTCTGAATGACTTTTTGTAGCTGTTCCTATGCTAAACCAACAATATCTTCGGATATAAGAACATTGTAAAGAATAAAATATATATAGCATGAAAATTCACTTTGTTGTTGTTGTTGTTGTTGTTTATTACATTTCGTATAACAGTCTTTTTAATTTTTAATTGTATGTTTTAACGATTCATGCTGGTTGTTTGATTTGAGTTAAATTTTTAAATATATATTGAAATAGAAAGTATTTAAGATTTTATCAGCTCATTACCCTTGTTTTACTACCCTATCATGTAAACTATTCTCAGTGCAATAATTTTTAAATGTTAACAATTTAATGAGTGTTTAAATACAATATCTCAAAAATTTGAACAAGAACTTTTTAATATTTCTTGTATAAACTGACAGCTATTAATCAATATTGGAAAGTAATAATTTTTATATTGCATTTATTTGTTTAGCTTAAGAACTCATACTGTTTTTTTTTTTTAATTTTAATAAAACAATAAAAATGGATATTTATAAATCAAATTCTATTTATAACAAAATAATAACTTTTGATGTGTTTTTTTTGTTGTTGTTGTTGTTTTTTTTGTCTGTGTGTGTTTTTGTTTTGTTTTGATCTTTATAAATTTTAATATCACCTGTGGAACTTTTTTTTAGTGTTTTTAAGTAATGTCTAAATTTTTTTTTAAATGGGGGTGTGTGTGAATATGAGTGTTTTTGTAGGGGGTATGAGTGTTTGTATATAGGGATGATAGAGCCTTAAGTATTTTATAAGTGATTTGTGAAAAATAAAAGTGTATTAACATGTGATGTATTATTTATAAGTAATAATACATCACATTGCTGCTGTTTCTTTATTGAAACAAATTTATATTTAGTTATACTCTTTATTTTGTTAATTTAATTTTAAATTTAATTCTTTTTTTTTTTAATTTTTATACAGAATGGCATCAAAAAAAGCACTGGTTTTTGTAACTAGCAATGAAAATAAGTTAAAAGAATTTGTGCAAATAATTGGTCTTAATGAAAAATGGAATATAACATCCAAGAATATTGATTTACCTGAATATCAAGGAGAACCAGATGAAATAAGCATCCAGAAATGCAAGATTGCTGCAGAACATGTAAAAGGACCAGTTGTTATTGAGGATACATGTCTTTGTTTTAATGCATTTGGTGGTCTACCAGGACCATATGTTAAATGGTTTTTAGATAAATTAAAGCCTGAAGGACTATATAATTTATTGAATGGTTGGGAAGACAAGAGTGCTTATGCATTATGTACATTTGCTTATTCTTCTGGATGTTCAACTGATGAAATAGTTTTATTCAGAGGAATTACAAATGGAACAATTGTAGAACCGCGAGGTCCTACTTCGTTTGGATGGGATCCTTGTTTTCAACCAGATGGATTTACTCAAACTTATGCTGAGATGGATAAAGATACAAAAAACTCAATTTCCCATAGGGGAAAGTCTTTAGCAATGCTTCAAAAATATTTAAATAATTTATGTCTATAAGATCAGTAATATTTACTATCAATGTAATAGTGTTAATGATATAATTTAAATACTAAATTTTAGAAATATTTTATTGATGTATAATGCTCTTTAAACTCTTAATATTTTTTATTATCAAAAAATTATTTTCCCCTTGGGTTTCAATAAAGGTGAAATGTGAAATTATATATTAATTATAAATGCATAAAATAACAATAAATGCATAAAAACTTTGTTAAAAAGTCAGTTACTTTTTTTAAATTAATTTTTAGACGTTTTCAAATAATTTTGCTTTACGTTTAGCGTTACGCTATTCAACTTTTACGTAGGATTTCAATCTGGCGATATCATCTACTCTTCAAGCCATTTAGGTATTACGAAAACTTTTTTCAACTAGGGTGAAATGCAAGAAGCAAACTTCGACTTGAACTTTACTTTGTAACCAATAGCGACAGAGTATTTTTTGAGGGGAAAACCCGTACTCGGTCGCTATTGGTTGCAATGTAAAGTTCAAGTCGAGCTTGACTCAAGTTCGCTTCTTGCATTCCACCCCTAGATTATTTAAACAGCTTTTAAAATAGTTTATGCGGAAAACATTGAGAAGTAAGCATGTGTCAGCATGAATCTTTTCTAATCTGTAAATCCTGATAGTTAAAAATCCTTACTAGTTTATAAGATCTGATAAGTTTATAAGATAAATACAAATCCTGCATAAATACATATCCTGTTCTTCAATGTAAACGCAAATATTGAAGTGGCTTGAGTTGGTTGCATCAATTCCAATAATTTGTAAAGCATTTTTATGGCAGTATTGCATTTTTTTTTTTTTACTATTTTTGTTTGTTTTTGCTTCAAGACTGCATGAATTAAAAACTGAAGTACTGAAGTAAATATGTCTTGTCGCTAATAGCGTAAGACTTATAAATAGAAGGTTGGAGTGTCCAGCTTATGACATTAATTTTAATAACTTAACATTTTGAGCGAATTTTTTCATGCCATTGACCGTAGGCTAATTTGCGACACCATCAACAATGTATGTCAGGATATCATCAGCATATTTGCGACACCATCAACAATGTCAGGATATCATCAGCATATTTGCGACACCATCAACAATGTCAGGATATCATCAGCATATTTCTCGAGAATGGTTTCAGGTGAAATTTTGTGTTTGTGTCTGAAGATTGGCCGTTTATGTCTAAAGCCCTAAAACCCTGACTTACTCCGGCTTGGATATATCAGTGGTTTGATCAGTTGATTTAACTCTTTATCGACAAATAGACAAATAAGCTGCAATCCATATTGTAATTCAGCTTGGAAGAGTATTTATTAACTTTAGCAGTAATTTTTCTTAATCAGCAAGATCAAATACTTTTGCAAAATATTGAACAAAGAATATTAAAAATATTGATTCATTAATATTATGTCTAGCATTGCTCCAATTGTCTATATCTTGAATAATAGTATTCACAGTATTACAGCCTAGAAAGAAATTGAACTGTTTAATAGAAACCCAGAGATATTTGGTGTGATGGACAATAAATTCTAGAAATAATGCTTAGAAAATTTTTGCATAATGCGGATATAGTAGCAAACGGACAATAGTTCTTGGATGAGAGCGGGTATAAGCAGAGTCATCCAAGGCTTGAGATTGACAAGCCTTATTGCTTGTAGAGGTTAAAAATTAAACTAAAAGCCAAGCAAGTTGTTTTGTAAAGGTTGAGCAGAAGCTGAATAATTACAACGACGTGATCTAAATTACCAAAGCTAAGAAGGGTATTGATTAAGTAGTGTTTTGGAGCATTACTTAAAATGATATGAAGAATAAATGTTTATCAACTAGGTTGCGTATTAAGATGAATGCGTTGTCAATTGTGCAACTAGTTATTGTTGGTTCAATGAGTTGTGCAAGTCAATATGATGCGTCACAGTTGCACTTTTTAACCAAACCTGGATTTAGACGCATATTATTACACATGAGTAGTGTTATATTTTAGGTACGAGTAAAACACGGTTACACGAGTAATATTTAGTTCAATTTCTTGCTTAGGTACTGAGTTTGACAGGGAGTGGTTGTTTTATTTTTCTGTTTTATCTGAATATTTTTTATTTGTAGATATAGTTCTACTACCAGATTCTGACTTTAGTACTTATGTATGTGTAATTACTATTGATTTAAGAAAGAATAATTTGCATACTAATAGAGATCAGCCACTTTTCAGTTAAACAACCGATATTAATGTTGGAATTTGTAAAAAAAGATTTCAGTTTTGTTACATAGAGAAAACATGTTAATGGTGCAGAATATTGATAAGCGATTGTTGTTTGCTGTTAAGCTAATTGGTTAGTGTGGAGCTAGGAGTAAGGGCACTGGAGATTTTGACGATTGTTCTATTGTATATACCCCAGTGAAAGAGTGCATAAGGGTTACTAATGCGAATTTTGTTATTAGAAGCGGTCTTTGCGAATTTGATACTCAGTGGTTGTAACATATTTGGAATGATTAAGCAATAAAGGTATGAAAAGAATTCTCGATTTCTGATTCCAATAAAAGGTATCAATTATCGAAATTAGAAAATATATATAGGTGTTTCAATAACTTCATGGTTTGAATGATTTTTATGGTTCAAAACTTAAAAAATTGTCTCTTTACACAGAAATATTGTTGATCAATATCTTCAAATATGCTATGAGCAAGCTGCAAAAATGCACACAAGATAACTGTTACGAAGGAAAGCTTAGAACTTTATTTATTGAAAAAGTAACTAAAACTCCTTCAGAATCTGTTTCAAATTATTTTAAAATGGATATTGCAATATTACTTTTCTTTTGCTAGACCATCTGAGTACTGAGTTAAACATAAAATTCAATAATATAAGCATCTGCCTTTAGTTCCTTCTTTCTGATCTTTTGTTTTTTTTTTCTTAAAAAGGATAGTATTATTAATTAAAGTATCTGTTTTTGTTTATTTAATTGTTTTTTTATGTGACTTTAATGCTAATGTTACTTTGATATTTTGTAAAAACTGAAACTTTTTTTATAAGGTAAAGTTTTTAACTTATCGGTATTAAGTTAATCCCAATATTTTGGAACATTTCCCAAATTACTTTTCAATAAATCAAGATACAAATATAAATAATATTTCTAAAACCAAAATTCATAAAAGAATTGTGAAAAACTTGCAAAAACTTGTAGCAATGGGGTTGTCCATTAATTACGTCAACAGTATAAGGGGAAGGGGGGTCTGAACTTTTTTGACATTGTTGACGAGGGGAGAGGTCAATTAAAGTTGATGTCAACAACTTTTTTTTTTTTTTTTTAAGTTTCATTGCTTAAATAACGGAAAATTAGGCTGATTTTGTGGCGTAGCTTCTTTGTATAGGGGAGTAATCAAAAATTGACGTAATTTTATCGGGAAGGGGGTTTCTGGAAATTTGACAAATTGTAACAAGGGGGAGGGGGAGGTAAAAATTTCAAAAAAATTGTTGACGTAATTAATGGACAGCCCCAATGTAAAAATAGTTGTCTTTTTGGTAATAAACAAACCCATACTTGAAATATTAAACAGAACAGGTATAATCGATAATAAAAAGCTGAAAACAATTTTTATTAGGTTACTTAAATATAAAGGCAAAGTAAAGATTCTAAAAAACGTCAACAAACTAAAAGGTTCCGAAATTTATATTAACGAGGATTTTTCGCTAGAAACTACTACAATTATTATTTATTTATTTGTTATATATAAACATTATAAAACGTTTTTATTAATAAGCTTTAAAAATATAGAATAAAAGATTGGCTGGAGCAAGTAGAAGACAATACTCTTATCATCAAGCCCCTTTAGTAAACGAAAAGTATTTTTTTTTTCTTAAATAAATATAAATAAATATGAAATTGAATAATCTGTTTTTTTAAGATTAGACTTACCTAGACCCAGAGCGACGAATCTTACTAAGATCTGTAAGATCTTTCTTATCTTACATAAATTAGTAAGAACTTATTCGTATCTTAATAAGATTTGTCAGAAATATTTCTTTAAATAACTTGTTAATATCTTTGAAGATCTTATTAAGAAATAAATGACGGGAAAAAACTATAAATCTTATAAAGATCTTAAAAAAATTTGTTAAGATCTTGTTCAGATCTTAATAAATGCGATAAAAAACTAAAAATCTTACAAAGAACTTGCTAAGATCTTATTATGTTAAATTCAAATTTGTAGCAGCCGTGGCGCAGTGGTAGCGCACTTGCCTCAGAAACGTAAGATCCGTGGTTCAAACCCCACCTCTGGGCAGGCTTTGCGACATCGGTTGGGAAGGAGGCGTGAACTTCCTATTATATGCTCTTCCGCGGTGCTCTGTGATAAGACCGTAAGGACTTCTTGGGGCACCTAAAATCAACATTAAAAAAAAAAAAAAAAAAAAAAAAATTAAATTTTCATATAATCTCTGTCAGTCGTCGGTTGTTTATTTTGCGCCAATTTTTTAAGTGTTGTCGGAGAATGAATTGAGAGAGTTTTTTTTTACTTGTGATATTTTTAGATATTTTCAAAGACAAATAATATATCTAGTTTAAGATTATATCTACCTTTTCATAAAAGGAAATACTGCGTTTCAACGGAAAAACTATGTATCTAATTTATAATCGATATCTTTCTATTTTTAAAGTTTTAATTACCGTAAACCGGTATTTACAGGTTATTTAACCGGGGTTACTATGAATAGCGGGGTAACTTTGAATACAAATCTTTTTTTTTTCAAGTTATAACTATGGCAAGAATTTATATGAAATTGTTTAAATCTCAAACATTAAAGTTTTTAAATAGTTTATATTTTGATTATATAAAGTTTTACTTTGTTTATTGGTTGTTATTGTTCCCCAAAAAATGAATTAAATAATTCGGATATTTTTCTCAAAAAAAATAGTCAGAATACTTCGTACACTGCCTCAGCTAGTGTAGCAGCTTGTTGTCTAAGTTGCATAATTTTTGTTTATAAATTTATTAAGCATGTAAAATCTAAAGAAGTTTGTTTGCCTACTATAATTATGTTCCATTGCTGAAGCATAACATACTTTGTTGTATACATTTTTTCGCATACGGGTAACTTTGAATAAC